GCATTTGTTAAAACTGGCAACTGAATAGTGAGGATGTGGGGGTAGTCCATACTATTCAGATGTAACAGTTGCTCATTGACACACCACCCTCTCTCTCTCTCTCTCTCTCTCTCTCTCTCTCTCTCTCTGTGCAAGATACCATTCTGTTACTCCAAATGGTAAAGTCAATGTCCCATATTCACAACACACAGCCCCTGAGTGCTTGTCAAGAATGTACCAGCTTGCACAAAATCTGCTCTGCTTCCACACTGCTATTATATAGACTCTGTACTTCCCTTACCTTTGTTTCTGGCTGATGTAAGTATTTTCTTTTCAAAAATTCATCTCCACCTGTCAAGAGAAAAGTAATTACTTTAAAACCCTGCAACCATTCTGCATTAATTCCCTCACTGCATCATTAAGGCAATCAGAAGCACTCTCTGAGCTTTTGCGAACGGCGTGTCTTGGCTGCGGGTTAGATCAGTCTGTAAAAATAAATTGCCAAAGGATCTGTGAAATCTTAATGAAAGCCCCCTCACACTGTCACCGTCCCGGAGCCAGTCTCAAGGCACAGTTGATGAATAGGGGTTATCAAAACTTTATCAAAAAAGGAATGACTGCTTTGTCTTGTTAATTAAATCTCTTGGCAGTTTTAAAATATCTGAACATTTGTGCATGAATATTGATAAAGGGAGGAAAAATATAGGGCTAGAGAAGTTTAAAAAGGCTCTGCTGAGGTGAGAAATGCTGGCTCTCACCAACAGCTTGCCAGAAACCTGCTCCAAAGCGCTAATCACAGCAATGCACACACACACACACACACACACACACACAGAAAGAGTTATGCAATGCTAGAACAAAGTCTTCCTGCAACATAACATACTGTTAATATTTACTCTCTCAAAAAATCACACTTTATGTTGGGTGAAAGACAAATGTCAAAGCTTGTATTGAGGGTTAGAATAAACTAACATAATCATTATATATTATAATAACTGCACATGAGACGTCTCAGGGAGTTTGACAGCATAGAGAGTGTGAAGATGTACTGGAACTGTAATTCTGCAATAAACCATCTGAAATGACTTGTTATCTCACTGAAACATGGCTCAGCATGACAAAGACTGCATACAGCTGGCATGGAGAATATGGCTGTTGCCTAAATGGTGGTCCTTGAAGGGGGATTCCACTGATTTTTCAAACTTTATGCATAATTCAATCACTGAGATGTAAACGTCATTCAGAGTGTTTTGATGTGTAATGGTGCACTGGTGTAGACTAACTTACTGACTCAGATTTCTTTACAGTGGTGATGATTTGAACCAGGGGTTGTAATGACTACAACACAAATACAGCCATTTTATTTACTATTTAAAACAACCACTGAACCTACATGTGTCTTTATATGTAATGCTGTGAATGGTAAAATAGTGGTAAAAAAAAAAAAGATTTTCTTGGGCACTATTTTTCCGTACGACGCCCTGCATGTACATCTCCACCATTAATGTACTTTAAAAATGCATTTTGGACCAAAACCTTATTTCAGTATTGTTCTAAAACAATGTCATTGGCACAACTGTAACTATTTCATGTTATAACTTTCTGTGAGGGAGCTTCTTGAGGCATTTAATGCCTCAGATGTATAGTTCCTTCACCACACAGTGAACATTTCTGACATAGTTTCTCTGTAATGGAGCATTTCACATCAAACTACTCTGAATCACTCTTTTTATATTTTGGTGAATTTATGCAGACATTTCGAAAAATCGACATACTTCCCTTTTAACTATCGTACTATAGTTGGCTTTCCACTTACAAGAAATATGAGTGTTATACTATGGTTAATATCACCTTTATAAACGTATTATACATATCTGCTGTTATTCTTTTTAAAAACAGCATTTTGTTATGAAAGTCTTCATTTACAGACAGAAACAGATAAATCAACTATTTTTACCTTTACATACACGAACACCGGCAGCAGAAGCAAAAGAGCCATGAAAAAAAGGCTTCAGAGGCTGAAAATAGGCATGGGGCAGAGGGGCCCTTTTGACCTCACAGACAGTTATGCAACATTAGAACAAAGACTTCACACAGCATAACAGTTAAAATTACACACTGACACTCAAACTGACACTCAGAAACGACCACAGCGAGCGCCGGTTGCATAATTGCTCATTTGGAGCCAAAGCTTCAGCATGAACAGCAGCAGAGGATCCTTCGCCTGTTTGTCCAGCAGAGGGAGACATTCACCACATTTTCTTTATTGTAGGCGTTTCCGTGAATGTTTCTTATAATCACTTACCGCCACTAGAGGGAGCTATGAGAGCGTTCGAGCCAATGCAGGTTCAAGAATCACTGAGAACAGCGTCCTATGATTATTTAAGTGATTTGAATGCAGATCTAGATGATTTAGGTGAGGAACATCAAATCAAGTTTTTGCCTACACATGGAAAGGCATTATATTTTAGTACTAAACTAAAAGAAAAACTTGTTTGTGGTGCTGCTAATGGACAAACTGACAAACAACCCCATCTCTGCTTTATCATGTGACATGTGCCCAGTTGTCCAAGGACACCTGTTAATGATTGAAAAAAAAGAGAAGAAAAAAAATCTAAACATAACATTTGCATTAGCTCGTAGGTAAAACTCTAAATTGTTTGAACAGCAAGACACAACGTTACACTTTTAGTGGCCCTGCATTTAAAAAGGTGACAAGAGAAAGACTCCTTTATACCCTCACAGCAGTAACTGACATTATAGCACTGACCCACCCACAGCTTGAACTTCATCCTACTCATCATCTTAGTAATGACTGCATTCTAGGCTTGGTGAATCACTCTTTACAAGCAGCCACAGTCTCTCCTCCAATTTCACTCCATGTTTTTGCAAAAGACCCTCAGGGACGTGAGGTTTCACATCACAGTGCTTGAAAGACACCCAAAGTCGATCTATTGTTTCACCACTTTTAAAATGAGCCATTGGCAACTCTTACGCCTGCACAGATATGATTTGAGGCCAGTTTGGCCAGACTCTGATCTAATGGTTGAGGTCAGGCCTTACTGATGATTTCAAAGCATCATAAAGTTGTTTTTTTCTCAGAATGATAACTGAGCGTCATGTAACCTGCCCAGCTGCAGGGGCTTAACGTGCTCATCAGGCCTGCTATTTCCTCTTGAAACCAGAGGAAGCTAAAAGGCAAAGGGGCAACTCTGACTGTGCAGAAAGGCTGTCGAGATCATTAAAGGCACTAGCAGGAGACAACAGACATCTGCTGAGTGTGTGCTGAGTGTTTGTTTGCCTTTTAATGGAGGTGCGTATGAGTGTATACAAAAGGACATAAGATGATAAATCGTCTCCCCAGCATCACCACACAAATGTTTTATGCAATGTCAGGGTGTATGGTCTCGTATATACTACGCTCATATATACTGTACTATGCAGAAGTCAGAGACCGCCTTCATTTATTTAAATTTCAGTCAAAATGCCAATCAAGAACAAATTATCAAAGTCAGAGGAAAATAAGTGTCAAAAAAGAAACCACAGTTAAACTTTATTAAATATTTAAAGATGGATAGAAAATGACACTTGTAGGAAGCATGCAAGACCTGGTAGACCACCAAACCTGTTACCATCAGATAAACAGTACTAGCTTTTATCTTTGAGAGAGAGGAGAAAATCAGGCTCTGTGAGAAGCAGAAAATGCAACCAACTTCTAAGACTGAACTTTGGAGGTGTGAAAAATATCCCTGCAGATTTCTGAAAGTATGCAGCAAGAATGAAACATATACTATATGCAAAGGCTGGACACACTAAATGCTGAAAAATTTGATTTGATACTTAGTTGTAGATGATGCTGTGTGGTTTTCTGTTGTTTGTGCTTTTTTCTTTACACTGAAAAATTAATTACTTGTACTTAATGGCCATTTTGACTGGAAATGAACCCCTTTCTGTAGACCCCTAAGTGCCATTCCACTGATGGACTGGAAGATGACTCATTTGAAATAATATAATCAAATATTTTTCTCTGTAACGCTGTTAACTAGGACACTCCTGGCTCTCTGTGTGTGAAATGTTGTTGCATATTTGACTTTATTCGGTATAAGTATTGTTTGATATCGTATAAATTTGATATTGTCTAAGTACCAAAATTATACAGCGAGTAAATGCTACACTGGCTCAGAGTAGAAGCTGTTCTTTTTTTCTTGTGGTAGACTAATTTTCCACAGCCAATTCCTAAGCTTAACCATGACAGGAAAACCAGCTAAACTGGCCACAGAAAAGCTTAACTGTGCAAATTCTGTTGATGCTGCTGCATTTACGCGTAGCCTCTGTTCAACATCCCAAGATTAGTGACACTCGCAGACTTTACAACACGCACCTAGTTTCTCTGTATTAGTGTAAACCATTGGCTGGGACAAAGTGCTACTTGGCAATGATCACAATGAAAGAAATAATAAAAAGTACAGCAGTGGATAAGGGGATTATTGAAATATGTGGGGCAGGAGTCTGGAACAGAACTATTCATTTTTAGTGGACATGACTGGCAAAACTCAGTTATTTAAAAGGGGTAAAACTATTGAGCATGACTGGGTTTGATCTCTCAGTGTGCGTCACTGTTACTTCACAACAGCCTTTCAGCTGCATTGGCTGCAATGCTGTGCTGTTACCAAGGCATCTTCTGTTACATGGCATTAAAAAGGATTTAGCAAAGTTCAGGATGGCTTTTTATTTGCTTAACTTCACCTTAAGAGGTCACCTTTGGAAATGGACAAAGGCAAAGAGTAAAAGTGCCTCTACATAATCTAAAAGTATGTCTTGGGTCTGATGCGTTTTCCTGCTCCAGTGCCCTACATTTGCTTACAGCCAGTAGTTTATTTGGTTCAGGTCAGGTTTTGTGTGCAAATGCTTTCAGCTTAAATGAGCTCAAACAATACTACTCTTGTGGGAAGTTCTAACTGCCTGATCAAACAGGCAAAAATCAGACAACTCTACGGACATCCAGAGAGAACCACTGACAGTGACTGTAAACATGTAAAAGCATTCACTTTTATTCATCGTTCTCTTCAAAACAACATACATCATTAGCAACTCACTTTTTTGCTTCCATGTTGGCTCCCTTACAATCTCATTTCATAAGATAAACAAACAAGAAATCAAATAAATATATTAAACATTTATTTTTTGTTTGTTTGTACAAAATAAGGGGCCTTTTTCACAGAGAAACAGCCCAAAGACAATTCAATTAGTTATCATTATCACTTTAAACATGCTGCATGCAGTAACAAAAATACGAAACTGTACTGGTCAGGAAAGAGCTCAAATGAATATTACCACGTATTGGCCATTTAAACATAATTAAAAAAACAAGGTAAACTCAGAAATAAGCTTGAAATAAACACAAGAAAGGAAAGTCACCCATAGTCAAAACGGATTCATTTCAGTGTTGGAGCACTTCAATACTTTTATAGACAAGATGACAAATGCTAACAGCATTGCCTAAAACTGAAACTGATAATGTATGACTAATGCAAGAAGAAATACACACCTTCAACACACAGTCAAACCTATTCCATGGAACAGGTTGATACTGTGTAAGCAAGCTGTTTGTGAATTTGTCTGATGTAAAATCACTGAGAGAACAGTGAGGTGTTGATTTTTTTGTCTTTTTTTTCTAATAAACATTGTGCTTCCTTTCTAAAAACACACAACACCTCATACCCTGAATGGCATTAAAAAGATAAATGTTTCTTGTTATGTGTATAAAATACCTTATAATGACACTCAAAGATATTTAAGATGGCCCACTGCACTGCTGTTACTGCACTACTAAGGTGAGGCCAGTTTTTCAGGATGACATGAAAACTAAAACCAATCTTAGAAATACTTTAATTACCACTCTAATTTCCACTATTGTGAGGTGGCCTTTGTTTTGCTTCCCAAAGTGTGTGAGGTAGCACATTGTTGCCCTGATTTCAAAATTATGGATGACATTTTCTTAAAAGAAAAAGCATGGTTGACAAACCTTGCTTCTTGACCTATATCTTTAAAATGTGAAAGAAAGTCAGAAAACATCATGTGGTCACACTTTACTGAAGGGCAGCACTCATAAAGCTACACGAGTCTTTCATGACAACTAACATAAACCTATATAGTCATTTATAAGCGCTTATTTCAACAAGCACCAAATGTCATATTGCTTCATCAAAAGCATGACAAAACAGACTAAAGATGACAACTGACACTTGTTGGAATAAGCCTTCATTCACATTAATGTAGGTTTACATCAGTTCTTGTATAAACCTAATGCAGGTGTCCTGTAGCCTTAGGAATGCTGCCTTTCAGTGTAGTGTTACCTATTGTGCAATACCCAGTAATGTCAGACTGTCAAACTCACTTCTTGGTTTGTTTGTAAATACACAAAACACTACTGAAACTGTCCCACAGAGAGCTTTTAAGACAAAAAAGCTAATTAACCTTACTAGTAACATATCACATACTTCAACAATTAAGTTGGCCAGTTTGTAAAGAGCATATATAGCAAAATAAATGCAAAATATCATGGCACATATTAAGACCACAGGCACTTTTAAAGACAGTAGACTGGAAAGTCCCAGTGCTCATACAAAGGGACAGTTACTTAAGATATTTCTATGGTTAACATTGCACTCATGGACTTTATAAGTACACAAGTAAAAATCCTTTCTCTCTTTCCCCTTCCCCAATAAGTGCATGAGCGTTTTTGTGCACAGCTTTAAAAACATACTATTTTAATACCTGGCACTTATTGCATCACTTTTCTTGACACTGTTATTTGACAAACAACTGTATGCATGAGTGTGGCCAGGGCATATGTACATTACTTATGACTCAGCCGCTCTTATAAAACACTTCTTTAAAGGGCGTGTACCTGTAAAAGGCACAACCTGGACTGTTTTTCACCAGTGTGTTTTGTCGAGGCTGGTGTATCTTTGCTTACAGCAGACCCACTGTCTTCTGTATAGGAGTTTCAGGAGGTGCTGCTCCTCTTCCTGGTCCTGGGTCTCCTCAGCATCACCTCCTCCTCCTGGTCACTCTCACAGTCCCTCTCAAACATGGCCACTGTGCGCTCCACGTAGCCCTCCCTGGGCCTGTCCTGTTGAGTACAAGAGAAATACTCAGGAACCATCCATTACCGTAACATCTGTAATATATACTACACAGCGGTGTAACGATTCACAAATAAGTGTTTCAGCTTGGACTGGTATTTGAACGAGGCACAATACAGGGTAACCATTTAGAACAGAGATATTTTACATACACCAGCGTTAAAGGTGCAGTAAATTACAGCCTGCTTATTCTAAGGAAACACATGTTAGAAAATATTCATGTAAAAATAAATTATGACTATTTTTGGTCCCCAAACATACATACATGTTGTAAGTAGACTCTCTGACAAAAATTACGTACAAGAATAATGTAGGATATGAGCCATTTAATGTAACAACATCTTATTCCATGCAATTTTGGACCATTTGTATCAGTCCATTCACCATGAAATGTTCACACAGTGTACATCCAAATGGCATTTTCAAATAATATAAATCAAACACCCTACTAATCGTACTCATCGTACTAATACTAATACTAAGATCTAAAAAATTTAAAAATGCCATCTGAGAACATTTTTGAAAGACTTCTCTAAACAAAAATGGCAGGGATGTGAAAGCTAACTCCACCATTTACTGTAAACAGGATACACCACCATTTGACCTGACTCGGGTAAAATGTCAGGGCAATTCTCATGACTTTGATGACCTCACATGGCCCCCAGTAAACAGGAGAGAGACCAAAATCAGTGAATTGTCTACAGAGGAGAATAGATTTGCAATACACGAATAAAGCACTTACTTGTGGCTTCTTCATCAGGCGTGTCAAATGGTTACAGAGCGCTACAATCCTGAAGGAGAACTATTCAAGAGAACAACAAAAGCATTAATCATACAGTGTACCAGACACACACAGTGTAGCAAAAAGTAGTCTTAACTGTGTAAAAAGGGGTTATGAACCACAATTATATTGCACGTTCAAAGGTTATTCAACAAGTGCTGTGTGTGATAAAGTAATTACCAAATGCAGATTGCTCAGCACTGTAAGACAGAACAGGATTCAGAGTATTACCTTCCATCTCCGGCGAGCATACTGTCTCCTGAAGTTTTCAATGTTGACCACAGACTGTCGGCGCACCAGAGCTTGTCTAGGGTTCACAGGCTACAGAAAAACACGCAAGAACAACAGCACAGACTGCTCTGTTAAATCCATAATTAACAAACAATGGCACTACAATAAAATGTGGTATCTACTAAAGTGAGTTACTGTATATAATGTCAGACTGTCATTACTTAGTGATGACATAAGAACTAATGGCACAGACAGTCACCACAGAATAGACTGTACATTCCACAAAGCCAACATATGACATCACAAACTCCACCTAATAATAAAGAATGCTGTTTTTCATTTCACTTATCACAGAGATAGCAAAGACAGTAAAACGGCCTGAAGTCCAAAAGAAATTATGTTTATTCCAAATCTTCATTTAGTGTAGAAAGAAATGAAATCACTGTGTATATCAAACAATGCTTGAAAACAAAGAAAACTTGCAAGATCTTAAAATACAAGTATACAAATGATAGTGATGTTCATAGCAAAACTCTAAGTAACTACACTGAAAATATCCATTTGATAACAAACATGACATGTAAGAAAGAAAGAAAGAAAAAAAGAGAAGTCAAGTAAATTACAACAGATAACCAGTAATGCAACTATATTTAAACACTTCTCTGACAATTAACTGTAAAATCAGTTAATAATCATTAAAAACTGCCTGTGGAAATGATCTTGTTTTTTTGTATGCATGAACTTAAAATCACTGGAAAACTGCTGCTGAAAGACTATGCCAAACAGTATTAGCCACAGTGCTTCTTAAATGATGTATACAAATATTAATAATAACCAATTAAACAAGGCATGAACAACATATAAACAATAATGCAAATCGAAAACTCATCTACATTTAACAGTGCCTAATGGGCATATTGCCCCAAAAAAAATCTCCATACATGAACTGAACCTCAATAAATAAACTGTTCAGGGTCTAAATTAAGAATTTGCATAATAACATAAAATTGCATGGGACTGCATGCAAATCTCCTAAAGCCCTCCACACCTCCATCACACAGACTCTGAGTTGTTGTCTGTCTGAATGCTGCAGCACAAGTCTCCTCCACAGGCCCTGCTCAGCAGCTCTTTTAAAGCCTCATTGACCTCGTTGTTGAGGGCAAGTGTGGAGCACTGTGTTCCGTTCTCCACCTCTCCTTTTATGGAGCCCACCACTTCCTGTAGCCAGTGTAGCTCTGCATCCAGCTCCTCTCTGAGAGAGCTCAGGTGGGCCTGACGCTCCAGATAGCGGTCACTGATGCTGTCCAGATTGGTATCTGCTGCTTTCAGATCCTCCTGGATTCCCCTCCTCAGTTCCTCAATATTCCTAAGCTCATAACGGACCCGCGAGAGGCCCTGACGCACGCTCTCGCTCTCTTCTTTGTACCAGGCCTCCTTCTCTGTATAGATGGAGAGTACAGCTTCAATGTCCTCCTGTATGGACTTCCGTTTTTCAGCCACCTTTTCCAGGCTGGTCTCCATGAAAGAGACGTCCTCCACCACACGGGAAAAGCGCTCAAAGTTGATGTAGGTATTGTTAGGTGGAATACTGGAGTGAGAGTGGATGGTGTACTCTTTCAAGCGTTTAGTCTTCAGCTGACATGGTTCACTCTTTCTCCGGGTTTCTGGGGCTGAGCTGGTGTCTTCTACATGCTCGCGGGACTTCAGACATAGGAACCAAATGGAGACTGAGTAAGAGCATGTCCTGTGCACCTTTTTTGGTCAGTCACTGCAGTCATTTTCATTCACAGGCTGGAAAGTGCACAGTGGGGTCAGGCTGCAGACTCAAAAAGGTTAGTTTCATGTCGTTAGAGTATAGAGACCACACTGGAGTCAGCTTACTCTTCAGTCCATACCATTAGTGTGGTTTGTTTACCAAACATTGAAGTACTTGATGCAAAAAACACAGGCATGCAGGTGACTGGTAGGCTTGTCACAGGATAAATTCCAAATTGCATATACAGAAGTATTAAATTTAATTTTATTTGACTGCTAGTAAAATAGATGTTGGTACTCTCGGTTAGTTTACTGGTGTCTGTTCTTGTGGTTTTAAGGGTAATTCCATGATAGGGGTGTCATCTGTATCCCACTGATATTACATTTACAAACATGTATGTTAAAAAAAAAAAGTAAAAGACATTTCAAACACATGTGAAGTGTCCCTTCACAACAACCCATCTGCATGTTTCAGACAAATAACTTAAAACATTAATAAAACCTATCTACACTTAGAAAACAGCAGTTTTCCCTGATTTAGCTACTATAATAAAAGTTTACCCAGAAATATGATCTGTAAATATACTTAAAAAATCTTACAATATTTGCATAATTGTGAAAATTCATTTAACATCTCACAATTGAAACATCCCTTTCCATTTGTCATCCAGTATTACTTATGATAAAATGTTGTGTCTCACAACACGCAGCCAACCTCATCAGAACACATTCACCCCTATAAAATACATGGAATATTCCACAAGTCACAAATTCAACAGGAATTAGCATCATCCAAATGTCGTGAAGATCATGGAAAGAAGAAAATAAAGTAAACCTCATTCATTTTTGTTTACTTTTAATGATGTTTGATATGGGGGACAAGGTATATATGCTAATTATATGCTAAAACCCTGTTACTCATTTAAGCTGTTGTTAAAAAAAAAATAGATATTGCTCCTGTGAAGGCATGACATATTTTTTGAATGGGTAAATGCAAGTTTATTGTCGAGGGGAATGTCAAAGGGGAATTCCACAGATTTTTGGTGGTGATATACAATGCAAATAAAAACCACTTGTGAACCTACAAGTGTCTTCAGGGTTTTTTTCAGGTGTCAAAACTTTCTTGTAAACCTATCAAAAATATTCAGGTGTCGGGGAGCATATTTGTAACCATTTAATGTAATAATTTTTGTGGTGTACCTTTTAGAAACAATCAACATGTCTGGTTCCTATCACTACTGCTGTGAATAATTCTGACTTAAACCAGGTGTTTAGGTATAACCAGAGGTTTAGTCAGACTTTAAAATGAAATTATACCTAATTTCAATATAATACCAAAAACAATACTGCATAGAGTGTGAGCTGGTTTTGACACAAAGCAGCAATTTTTTGGTCTGTGGTGACTCATTCTGTCTCTGCTATGCGACATAGCACAAATAGAACAGTTCACAGTGTCCAGTAGCAGCAGTCAGGCAACATCCAGTGCTGTTACTACCTTACAATGGTCAGTAAACACACTAATAACAAACCACACAAACACTTAAATACATGCTGTCACATGCACAGTCATCCAGATGGTTACCTTTATCCATGGGTGGTTCAGAGCACCTTCTATTGTGAGCCTCTTTCTGTAGAGCAAACAAAGACAAAGAAAAAAAAAAAACATTGAAAAACACAAGAGCAGTACAAGAACACGCAGAACGCCCATTTACATCTAGTGCAATTCACTCGTGTCCAAACACATATTTCCTCCGGGCAATTTTTTTGAAGATGATTCGATCTACAGTACGTTTACTCCACTCTTCATTTCTGGGTTGATGATGTAACAGTGACATGTTACAGCCCATCCTCGAAAGGGAAAAGAACAGTGGAAGCCTGCCTGATATTTTGTAATAGCTTGGCCCAATCCCATTTCACCCCCCTGCCTCTACCACTTAGCCACTGGCCATCCGTTTTGCGTGTTTACGCCTAGGGGTAGGGTGTCCCGATTTTGTTGAGATAGAGAGGTAGGGCGAAGTGTTAGGGCTACATGGCCCTCCAATCAGAGGTTTTTCAGAGGCACACTCCAAATGAAGTGTTACGAGAAAAAAACAGCAAGACGGCTGCACAAGCGACCAAAGAAACCACAAATAAGTATTTTCTCTGTAAAAAATAAAAACACGACAACCAATGTATTATGGTCCTTTTCTTCATAACATGCATAAAAATTGCTAGTAGTATGCTGATGTCTTGGTAGCTAGCTAGCAAAATTTTCACGTTCCACCTTAAATGGTGCAGCAGTTCTGATGCCTAAGGCACCAGAATGTAAGTGCTGCACCTTTTAAGGTGGAACAGGAAAATTCAAGCAAGAAGCTAGGGAATAGCTTACTTCAGCTTTATATTACTGAAGAATTAGAGGTGGGCAATAATAAATAATTGTCGCATTCCCCCTCTTTGAAGGCACATGATTTCCTAAATTTAAGACCAGCAGCAAGGTTGCTGAACTTTACTGCTCCTCTGCTATCACTGCAGACTGACAGGGCTGCCTACAGAGCACAGCTAGCACCCTGTTAATGAAGTAATGTTCCTTTTTATTTGAGGGTTGTCCCATTTCGTAGGGCAAGATTTCAACCACTACCTCTTGTAACTCAGTTCCAAGGGGCAAGGTGACACTCGAAAAACAAAGGGGTAGGGATAAAAATAAGAAATGGGATTGGGCACTTGTCTACAAGTTCACTTTTCTGCATGTTGAAGTTGACCTTGTGCTTGTTGCGCAGTGCTTCCTTAATTTGATGTCTCACCTTGTGTCTTTAGTCAGCAGCTGTCTGATGAAGTTCTTAGCCAGCTCACTGGTACTGCCGAAGAATTCCTCATCAAACTCATAGTTCACGGCAGAAATGTTTGCCATAGTCTCTTGTTTAGACTCGCCCAAAAATGGGGAGGCACCACTCAGTCTGCAGGGGTGAAGAAAAAAACACAGACTTTTTAGCTTTCAGCCAAAGCAGCCTAGACTCAGAGCCAGCTTGACCAGACATTATTACTTTAACACTTGCCTTGCTTGGAATTTGCAATTTCAGTGACATGACACATTATTTCATGTCAATTACACTATTAGAAATAAAAATTCCAACATGATTATTGACTTGGATGTACAGTTTTAGGAAAAACCTTAAATTAATATAGAAGCTTTGCATTATGTGGCTGTTCTTTAGACTTTTTCATAGCCCTTTTATAAAAGCCGTTCTTAAAAAAAATGGTTCCTTTCCCTGAAAAAAAAGTGGTTCTTCTGTGAAATCACTCCAAAGACCCCATTTGGCACTTTTTTGGAAGAGTGTGCTTCAACCAATTACAAGTTTGTACTCTTATTACTCCAGCAAAGCAGCTTTGCGTATGCTTAATGAATCAGATTATTTAAAAACAAAACTCTGACACCAAATTTCCAAGTCTGGTCATGAATTAAAATGCAGGTTGAGGGATTAGCAGGAATGGAAATCCAATGGATTTCTTTTCAGTCCATATTTAGGAATAATCTGGCTCCAACACACCAGCCCACAGAAGTAACACCTGAAAGTGAGAATCCACATTCCCCAGTTCACACTTACAGGATGTATGTGATCACTCCAATGCTCCTGTAGAGGAGGAGGGAAGGGGAGAGAACATAAGATTAAGCCATGGAACTGTACTGATGCCTGTTCTATGCAAAACAAAAAGTGCAGGCCAATTAAGAGCACTTACCACATGTCCGATGCTAATCCCAAAGGTTCGTAGTTGACTATCTCTGGAGCTGAAAATAGACCATTACCATAAAGATATTTCACATAACACGACAATGCAAGATGGCTAAAAATGATGCAGAGTTTCAGCTCTGGATGATGTGACAGTGCTATTTAACTATTCTATTTAAATGAAGGTGATTCACTCCAAATGTCCAAAGAGTGATGCATGCTGTACAGCACAGTATACAGATGATGAATATAATAGCTCTTACTCATCCACCTCCCAACTTACACACAAATTCTGGCGTTCCAAAAATATTCTTGAATTCGACACCATCTTCGATCTTATGTGCCAGGCCAAAGTCGATAATTTTGATCCGTGGCATTGGGACATTGTTGTCCAGCAGCATAATATTCTCAGGCTGAAATCCAGAGAGAAGAGACATTAAAATTTAACAAAAAACATCTATAGAGCAGACATGCAAGTGGCAGACTGATAAGAAATGCAACACATGAAATAGGCAAAAACAATTTTTTATAATATGGTCACTAGTGCTCTACAACTGTAAATATAGGCCACTTCTCAAAATAGACTGAATGACATATTCAGTGAACTACTTCATAGGTCTGTTTTGGAAAGAGTGTCCATGTCCTCTCAGTATCTGTATGTTAAGATCATGCTGCTAAGCCGGCCTGTAAGCATGTCTGGATGCCCTTGCGGAGCAGCAGAGACAGGAGGTGCAGCACTTAGAAAAACAGGATGGAGATTATCAGGCTGAGCAGCGTGGGTGACATCCCACCTCATGTGCGCCCGATAACCTTGCAGTGCCAGAATGCTTGAACTGAAGCCAAACAACACAATGCGCACGTGTGAACGTGAGTCCAAACAGACAAAACACTGCTGATGGTGCTGGTGCTGATGATTACAATGCCTGCTATACATATACATGGAGGTTTTGTTTAATATTCTCTGTGATTTTTTGTGAAAAAGGAGCTAAATATTTTTAAATCTATTTGTCTTTTGAATAGCCTGTATATATATGATTTCCTTAGGGCCCAAACTCAGGAAGTTCAGTGCTCTGTGCAGTTCCCTCTGCGTTCACTAAGCTACAGGTGTTGCTATGCAACAGAGTGCACAGCAGGACAGATCCTCTAAAAAGGCCAACGCAGAAATGATCTGCTGCCATAGCAACAATTCTATTTCCTATTCCTCCCATCTCCTCATAAGAATGCACACTACAGTATGTGAATGTACAACCCCGTGCCCAAAGAAGATGGGACGCTGTACAAAATGTAAATAAAAACAGAGCGCAACGATGTGTAATTCATTTAAACCCTATATTTAACTGCAAATAGTACAAAGACAACATATTAGATGTTGAAACTGAGACATTTTATTGTTTTTTTTAAAAAATGCACGCCCATTTTGAATTTCATCCCAACAACACATTTTAAAAAAGTTGGGACAGGCGCATATTTACCACTGTGTTGGATCACTTCTTCTTTTAACAACACTGTAACGTTTAGGAACAGAGGAGACCAGTTGAAAGTTAAATGTTTTCCCATTCTTGCTTGATATAAGATTTCAGCTGCTTAACACTTCAAAGTCTCTTTTGTTGTATTTTTCACGTTTAATGTTTTCACTGGGTGACAGGTCTGGACGGCAGGCAGGCTAGTTTAGCACCCGGACCATGCTGTTGTAATACATGCAGTATGAGGTTTGGCAGCATCTTGCTAAAATAAGCAAGGCCTTCCCTAAAAACATTGTCTAGCTGCTCCAAAACCTGCGTCTATTATTCAGCATTAATTGTGCCTGGCAGATGTGCAAGTCACCAATGTCATGTGCACTAATGCACCTCCATACCATCATGAATGCTGGCTTTTGAACTACGTGCTGGATGAGCTGGATGGTCCCTCTCCTCTTTCGCCCACAGGACGCAGCATCTATCACTCCCAAAAAGAATTTCAAATTTTGATTTGTCGAACCAGAGGACACTTTTCCACTTTGCTTGAGCTGTGGCCCAGAGAAGGTGGCGGCATTCTGGATCCTGTTTATATATGATCTCTTCTTTGCATGGTAGAGTTTTAACTTGCATCTGTGGATGCAGTGACAAACTGTGCTTGCAGACAATGGTTTTCGTAAGTGTTCCTGAGCTCATGCAGTGATTTCCACTACAAAATCATGTCTGTTTTTAATGCAGTGCAGCCTGAAGATCACAGATCAGCTTTGTCCCCTGCATACAGAGATTTCTCTGGATTCTCTGAATCTTTTAACAATATTACGTAGAGTAGATGATGGAATCCCTAAATTCTTTGCAATATTACGTTGTGAAACACTATTCTTAAATAATGCACTATTTCACCACTCAGCCTTTCACAGAGCAGTGAACCCTTCCCAATCTTTACTTCTGAAAGGCTCAGTCTCTCTGGGATGCTCTTTTTTAACCCAATCATTTTACTAAACTGTAGCAAATTAACCTAACAACATTTGTTACGTTGTCTTTGTACTATTTTCAATTAAATATTGAGTTTAAATGATTTGCTTATCATTGCTTTCATTATTTACATTTTGCAAAGTTGTGTTGTAACTTGTTTTTGATACAAGTTTGAACAAATCCTTAATATAACTGCTGCTGCAAGTGTAACAGGGCAAAAGGCCATTACAGTGCAATAAAAAAGCACCTCATCTGAGATAACACTGGTACTACACATTGAAGCAGGCCTGCATTGGAAGGGGTATTCAGGTACAATGCTGCAGGTTATCAGGTTGGGTCCTTTCCTTTTCTGTATATAAATGGTGTCTATATATATATATATATATATATATATATATATTATATATATATATATATATATATATATATATATATATATATATATAGTCTTCTATATGTCAATGCTCCAGTTGTTTTCAGAACTTTCAAACCCAAATATTGAAGCTACAACTTATATGTTGACAATTATCTTTTAAAAATTCTGCTGAATTTAGTTTAGGATATATCTGTTTGAATTTTAACAACCTATTCATCAATGAAATCATAATAAATAAATAAACACATATTACAGTACAGACAATGACAAATATCTCACCAAAGTTCTTGATTGTTACCTTACTTGCCAGGTTCATATTAACACATTTTTGTGTACAACTACATTTTAAAACATCTCTTTGTTCAGTTATACTTTCCACCATTGCTTTCACATCTGTATACATCATTTAGTCCTTCTTTTTCATTCATTTAACCCTTCCTTTCCTTTTTTACTAGCAAGGAAGTCCCTGAACAGGAAGGTTATGCGCTAAGATTCATGAGAAATTTCCTCTCAGGACTTGTCACTGTATTGCATTATCACATGCTAAAACCTTGACCTAGCCATAAAGTTCTATTATCTTAAATGTAACCACCTTCTTTGTTCAGTAAGCAACGTTGCAGTCTTGTAAGACATATCCCAATAAGACTGGAACATGTCATACTACTTATATTAAATATCTTTTTCCATATTCATACAAAAATTTGGAACACGATCATATCACAGTTAACATTTCCTTTGGTATGTTTTAAACACAAACATCCATATTGTATGCTTTAAGAATAGATTTGTAAACACTGATTTATTTATTAATAACTGCTCATATGCTATGTCTATATGCTCCATTGAGGCCCTTCTATCTAATCTGGTCTTGTTCCCTCTCATTTGTTCTTTTGTCAGTTCTTTGGTTAATCCTGTTAATGTTAGTCTGCTGCTTATTGTTGAGGTGTTCTGGGTCCGTTGAGGTGTAACTCAGTCAGACTGGTGAACATGGAACATTTTTTATTACCAGTAACTACTTTTCAACATTTTCATGTATAATCAATCGATCATACAAACAATCAATAAATAAACTCATGTTGCACTAACATCCTGACAGGTCAATGTCTGCTGCTATGGTAATATGGAGGCTGTGCTCTCAAAAAAGAGGTAAGTGTACCCAAGTTAGAAGATGGTAGACTAGATAAAATATGACTTAGGTGCTAGAAAAACTAGATAATGTACTACAAGATCATACAAAACAGCACAGTAATAGAGCACATACCTTCAAATCAAAATGTGCAACGCTTTTGGAGTGCAGGTGCCGCACTCCATCAAGGATCTGTTTAAGAAACTCAGTGGCCTCTTCTTCACTGAGAGATTCCTTCTGGGCCAGGAAATCAAAGAGCTCTCCACCAGACACCCTGAAAATACACACAAAATAAACTACAACTATGTTCTCAACACTGTCACACACTCTCTGATGTGAACAGTTTCTGGCCTTTTTATACACTCTATGTCCAACAGTTTGTAGACACCTGCTCATCCAAAGTTTCTTCTGAAAAACAATATAATATAGATTCTGCCCTCCTGTTGCTGCAGTAACAGCCTCTATTTTTCAGGAAAGGCTTTACACACTGCTGTGAGGATTTTATTCATTTGCATTCAGATATAAGAGCATTAGTGAAGCCATGTACTGTTGGATGTTAGTTCTCTACTCCAACTCATCCCAAAAGTACTGAATGGAGCTCCATCACTCAGAGAATGCAGTTCCACTGCTCCACAGTCCAGTGCTGGGACTTTATACCCCCTAAGCACATGCTTCACATTCAGTATGGTGACTTTAGGCTTATGAGTGGCTGTTCCAGAGTGTCCCATTCTACTGGCAATGCTTTTTATGGAAATTATACAAGCTGTGTGTGCACAATTAAAGAACTGTATCAGCAATGGATGCTTCTTAAAGAAACCAAATTCATTTATTAGAAGGGGTGTCTGAATATGTGTGTACTTTTTCCACTGCACTGACATATGTTCTCTTAATAGGTGACATATAATTATGTAGAACATTCATGAGGTGTCAAAATGTACAAACCTATGCAATAAAAAGGAATAAAAGAAGAGGTAACAGTGTTAGGCAATTAGTATAATATAAAGTCATATGCTTTAGCGTATTCAAAGAGAAGTGAAAATGAGTCTCTATGAGAGAAAGGACAAATGTAAAAAAGGAAAGCAGGGTTAAGTAGATAAGTACTATCAGTATGAAATCACATTTTTGATCAACATGCAAATTTTCATACCAAGTCTGAGCAGGCAAGTCAGTAAAAATCAGTCACTTTCTATGGGAGGATTGTGCTTTTGTCATGTGCTTTTGGCTGTAAATTTTATCATTCTATTAAGTTAAATTTTATCATTCTATTAAGTTAAGTATGGTTAGAGACTGATAACTGGAGATCAGTGGATGAAAATCTTCAAAACAATAATAATAAGAAACTTGTTGTAAACAAATGTTGAGTTCACTTGCCAAAAGCCCACAGATAAAACAGTTGCCTAGCACAAGATTTCAAGGGCTAGGGGAATGTATAAGCTTATATGAAAAGCAGCATGCACTTGTGTTCTTTTGGTAAAACTATTTGTTTCTGGCAGTGATTTAGGTTATTGCAGAAGAGTACAAAAGGCAGTAAAAATCAATGTATTTATATGGGTTAATGAAAGGATGAAAGGTTGGATAGCAGGGTCAGTATGAAATACAGTTATATGAGTGCTATCAGTAGGAAATGTAGATATGCACTTTAGGTCACTTTAGTCTTTATACTATGTTTAATGGTTCTAGCATGAAAAATCAAGTAGTATCAAAATCAGTAGCTTTCAGGGGGAGCAAAGTGGGATAAATCTTTAGGCTAGTTGTTCCAAAACTACTATTCATTATTTATTATTTACTCTGATACATAATATGTAAGGTATATAGTAATGACAGTTAAGATCTGGATCCACACACAGGCTCTTGCAGTTTAAAGTTTTTAGAAAGGTTAGCAGAGTTGGATGGAGTGGTATCAGACTGAAATGCAGTCTTTAGATTCATCTTTAATTGAAAGTTTTTGTAAAAATTTTGAACTGGACATAAAAAGTGTCCATGTTCACGATGGCCATGATAAAAAGCACCAGCATGTGGAACTGTAGCTTTCTGTGCGTACTCTTTTCTATCATTGTATAAAAGAAACACTATGCTGCCTTTATTAATGGATACACTTCAATAGGTTCAGAATGAAAATGTGTACATATTCAGAACAGAATTCAGATTTCTGAGGGCTTATTACTGATTTGGTTAATTAGCTTTGCTATATCATATTTTTTACATGTTAAATAAATATAATGTTAAAAAAGGACATGAATAAGGGGCAGAAACAGCTGCTTTTCGTGTAGGCATTAAAGGGTTAAAGAAAAAGAAGTTGGTTTTGGAACGACAATTTACGCTGTACATTCACACCGAGGTTGCGCCTTGCAGGCTAGGCACGCATTCACTGACCAGACTTTCTCACCATCTATTTTTCACTCTCTGCAAACTCATATTAGATGAGAAACATGTACTTCCTCTACTACACCATGAAGCAGCTTTCAACCACAGAGCTTACTGGTACTTCAGAGTAAGCAACATCATACAAAGCTCAGATTATCTCTTTAAACTGCAAAAATACTGCACTTTCTCCCTCCTACTTCCGTTGTCTCTCACCCTCATTCATATGATGCAACTACAATACAGTATAATACAGAGGTACTATCAACTCACTTGAACAACACTGTGTCAGTTTGCTGCCTTGCTGGTGGCTCCATGGAAACGTTTTTGAACTTAAACATGTAAGCAGATGACTGCCTCTGACAGTTTGTGCCATTCACCAACAGCCCTGATTGAATTCAGCCAACAATTAGACCTAATTGAATGCCCATGCTTCCATGTGCACATTGGTGCATGAACAAACCCACACAAGGCCCCACAGTGATTCCAGAGAACTGACACACACAGCATGCAAAAACATACAGCAAACAGACACTGAGTCATGGGGAGTCCAAAAAAGATGCATGCAGGCATGCACAGATACACACACACACACACACACACATATACACACCCCAACTTCCAGCTCACTACCATCAGAAAGCAAGCGCAAGTGTCATTGATGTACAGCAAATACAATATTCATCAAATTAAACTTTCACCAAGCATTCAGTTGACTCTCTCTTGCATTTTGTACAGCCGGTATCACAACACCAAATATGCTTATTATAGCTTTACAGCTTGTAGTAGTGCTGTGCAGTATTAGTAAAATTCAATATCACAGTATTTTTCAAACTGCAGTTAAGAATTTTACCTATTAACTCTAAAACTCATGTTAAAATCATTATTGCTGTGTAGTATCAATACTGGTATATCAAGATGACATATCACCCCAAACTAGCTTGCAAAATGAAACTATTCCACAGAAAGGACTTCTGTATGAATGTCACTCACAGCTCCAGTATGAGCACCACGTCGGTACGGTTCTCATAGACATCGTGCAGTGAGATGATGTTGGGGTGCTGGAGCTGCTGAAGGATGTTCACCTCCCTCTCAATCTCCTCTCGCCGCACTCCTCTTCTGCTCGCTCTGCTCTGCCGTTTCTTTATGTACTTCGCTGCGTACTCTACACCTGTGCTCTTCTCTTTACATCGTTTCACAATGGCAAACTGCCCACTGAAAAACAAGAAAGCAAACACTGGTTAGTACTAACTATGGATAAACATACATATAATAAACTGGGAATGAAGTATGTGTGATGTAGAAAATAGAGCCAAAGTTGTTTATTTCCTCATGTGGCGACAGTAGAATCACAGACAGATTTACAGTGCTTTGGATAACAGCCCTCTGAGACTCACTAGACCATTTATCTGAGCTCACAATGTAGGAAGAATAACTTGTGTCACTTTTTTTAATGTTTTTATTCAAGTTTCATTTCCTTAACTAATAACACAAAGATTTGATACTTGGCCAATTATGAATAGCAAAAAATGATTTATCATACAAATAATATCATACAAATGGTAAACTGATTATATACAGTACTGTGCAAAAGACTTTGGCACCTAAACAAATTGTTTAAAATCATTTATCTGGGCAGTTAATGTGTAACATTAGAATAAATGCAGTACAAAGAAATAAGAACTTCTTGTTTTTAATAAAAGTAGCTCACATCTTTAGAGTTGTTTAGAAGAACAGACGTTTGGTTCTAGATTTCTCCTTGAAACCCCCAGTCATCACATAGATTTATTAAATTCCATCACCAGCACACCTTATTTAATTTATTGAGGGATTCATTAGATAAAGCAGGTATGCAAATATTACTGGCCTTCCTCAAAGAAAGGTTTGGAAATGGTTAAATGAGAACACTGACATACATGAAATCAATACTTTTTATATGAAATGTTATTCAGATTTATCATTCGTATTAGTGTTTTTCTGAGCAAAAAACTCTTACTGCCTGGATACACAGCTTTTCTATATCTAATTTTCTCAGGGGCCTAAGACTGCTGCACAGTAATGTATGTCATGTTTATTATAAGACAGCACTAGGACTGCAGCTATTCAGCCAATGTCACCACCAAAACTCGGAACAAAACACCTCCCACAGAGCGAGACTTTGAGAGGAAATCCTTCAGCTGGCCAGCATGACATGAGAGCTATGAAGTAGGAAGAACACAGAGAGAGAGAAGAGAAGTAGAGAAATGCCTTCCTCCTACTCACTCTACTACTGCGCCAGGCATTCGGTCTTGCTTCCTCCTGCATTCTTACAACACATCTTCATAGTATTCAACATATCTGTCTAGGGTAAAGAACTTCATAAATTCCTGTTGGTCAACACCATACTTTGCAGTTTCAACAGAAGCACATGAGACCTCAAGAACAGCATTCTTTCTGATACATGCTGTATCAAGTAATGAAGACAGGAGCTGAAGGAGTGAATCACAATGTATTCTTCAGAAAGCTTTTTTTTTCTTGGGGGTTCACACAGCATTTCTAAGGGGTACTTTTGTCTATGCTTCTCCTGACTGCAAAGAACAATAGCATCGTAAATGCTGATCAGCTGTGTTTTTTAATCATCTAGGGAATGTAGTTGTTTAATGTTGTCTGGCATAGATATCTACTCAGCAAGTGTAACCAAACTGTCACTGAAGACAATCTTTGCCATTTCAGCTTAGGTTGCCTGCAGCATGCTACATGAAAAGAAAATAAAAGCATTTAAAATGCATCTTTCCCACTGAAAACAATTAACCTGCACAAAGGCATACCATTTAAAAAGTGATCTTTTTTACTAATCTTGATTAATCATGCACTCACACAGGGATATGTTATGTGTATGTATGTACAATTAACAAACATTCTTCAGTGACAAAAAAAACTTTCAAAAAACAGGTGTTGCTAAGAAAAAGGAAATATTTCTTAAACTTTACACTAATAAGAACATTGGTGATGTCCTGAGCCCCACCTCCCCCCACCAAGCTGGTCCACCCTGATGCCACCCAGTGTGGGTTTTGTTATTAGGTACTGCTTAGTTACTGCAGTGATAGCCTCTCAATGCAATGACAGCTTATGTAACATTTATTTTATTTAGGACCTTATTTCATGGAGTGATGTAAGCAAACTTAAGCCAATGGAACAGTGACTACGATGCTAGGTTGACTATCTCAACAGGAGGGACAACAACAGTCACAACACCACCACGTAATCTACTACAGTGATTACAGTTAACAAGCTGCAACAAAATCTGATTTGCCTGATTAGCACATGCACTCCAAGGCAAATGACCACTTGGGCCAAATTTAAAAAAAATTGTGGCCAGGGTCACTGGGCAGTATACAACGTCTACATCTGACTCACAACAACGGAATACAGTATAACTGTAGATTGAGAGGACAACTGTACTAATACTCCATACCGCACATTGCCCTAACGTTACATATCTCTTCCAGTAAGTTTCTCTGATCATAGCTGGGCCATATCCATTTCAGTGATGCCAAAAAAGTGAACAAGGAGAACAAATATAGTAAAACATTTCTGTGTCTCAGAATAATTAAATCCTGCATATGATCCCATCCCTGCAGTTATGCGAGGCTGCATCACCACAGCACTCAGTGGGGAGTGTCTGAGTAGGAAGCTGTATCAGAGCTGACTAAGCAGGCCTGCATCTGATGCTCCAGCTCATTTCTACACTTGATATCCGCTCTCTAAATCAGTCTGGCCCATTAACACAGAGTACCACCAGCACTCAGTCCAGATGGTCAGCTCAGGAGAGAAGATAGCACGGAGGTGGAGAGTGATTAGGAGGGCACTGAGAGAGACAGAAAAAGGGATGATGTGTCCTGTCTGAAATGTGCTAGAGGGAGAGAGAGATTCTGTCTAGCACAGTCATCCTGAGGAATGTCAGAGACTGGACTGTGACGCACTTTAAAAATGTGAAATATTGGATGCTTCTGTGGATGCAGACATGCTTATGAAATAGCACCCACTGTTGCAGTAGATCCAAACAAGTTTGTGATTTGGGTTTAAAGGGTTTAAAGTGAGGAAATGACTATCACAAGAAAATTAGAGCTGGCCTAAAATGTGTTCACTGGATCAAACTCAATTACTTAGAAAAGCCATAGTTGCCTTTCTGATGAATCAGTAATTACCCACCAGTTTGAGTCAGAAAATCTCACAGAGTGAACGCTAACAACAAGCAAAAGCTAACCTAGCGAACATAAATATCAAGCTAGCTCATTTGTCTGCCTGTCATTTGTCTGTTCATTCTTCCATTTGTTTGTTCATTTGTCTGTCTCTCCATTCATTTATGATTAAGTGCATAAGAACTGTATGTTCTTTAAGATGTCACTGTATAAAAGCAAGATTAAACTTTTAGTGAGCCACGGACACATATGTTGTAGTGTTGTTTTTTTCCATTCTTATTGTGCTGGACGTTTATTGTAACATTCAGTTTTAGTATGACATAAAGACATTGAATAATTTACACTGTGTTACCTGGGACTTCCCAAATTACAGTATATTATTCCATTAAAGCTTTGGGATCTTTGAAAGGCTCTGCAATGTTAGTAACTGTTCTGTGTTTTTTTGGACCTTTTTTAAAACTCAAATTTCTTGATTGTCAAAAAAAAATCTGTACATCCACAATTACAGCCCTAATGAAAAGTAGTGTGCTCTCAGATTGAGCAATGTTTCACAGGTACAAGTTCTCCTTCAAGTTTCATTTTCACCACTTATTTTATTAGCATACCATTCCCATGTTTTAGAGTGCACGACAAACTGCGGCAAAGAGGATTAACAAAGGGAACAGATGATTAGAGGATGATTACAGTCAGTTATTTCCTGTGTTGGACACGGGGCCCCACTGAGAGGCCTTCCAAAGACTGCGATAGGCTGTGTGGCTCTGTTCTGTGTGCTATCTGGACAGCTGGGTTAATTTTAAACCATCCGTTGTCCCACTCCACTCTCACCTGCCAGCTCTGTTTTGAGTGGTGGAGTGGTGATGGGGAGAGAGTCTGGAGGCTCTGAGAGGGGTACTGTGCCCTGATAGGGTCATACACTCAGATACATTCCAGTCAGCTTACAGTTAGCCTGGCCTCCATTTCTGAGGATGTTTTAAGGTTGCCAATCACAAGGTCACATAAAAATGTAAATGGTGGACTGGTTGGTTCATGCCTAGAAGGCCTGGACAAAGTACAGACAGAAAGCTGTGTCAGCTTAAATGAAGAACATGAACACAGCTTTTAATGCCAGACAATGCGGACCTCTTTCCGTTTACTAAAATGTAAATGCTGGACTGGTGGGTGCATGCTTCAAGGCCTAGTCAACATACAGATAGAAAGCTGTTTCAGCTTAAATGAAGATCATAAGCATTGCTAGACAACACAGAACTTTTTCTATGTTTTTTTCTACTTGAAGTTAAAAAGCAAGGGAAGTAATTCTTACACGCTTTTGTCTGAAAGCTGTAACAATGTAAAACAATTTATTCTCTAACTTGATTACTAATTCACTGCAGTCAGGGTTATGAGTGAGTACACTACATTCATATCACCATGTGATGCCAGTTTTAGATCACAGCAACAAACATTCAGAGTGCTCCACCCAGGAGCTGTCCTTGCTATCCCTCTTTCTGTCCATACAGTCCAGAGAGAGCAGAGAAAAAAATATATGACACACATCCAAACACACACAACCACACACAGCACATCAAACCAAAACAGACTTGGCTGGAATGTGCAGCCTTACGGCTGGCCCACTCTCATAGAGTCTTGGGACAACACAAACCTGGGAGGGTCAGAATGAGTGAACATCTCAAATATTCTTTGCATCTATTATATCTACAGTGTTGCCCCAGAGAGCACTGAAATATTCTGCCAGCTGGACTGCTTTACAGCAATAACACATCTTTACAGCAACAACACAGGAACAAAGAACTCATGAATGGCCACGTATGAAGCAAACGGACTCTTTGTAACAAAAGAGGGGAAAATGGGTTCTCACACAGAATAAAAAGATCCTCACGAGAGTGCAGTGAAAAAACATAAGTCTTTTCAAGCTTTTCTAAGAAAGGTAACCAAGGCCAATGGTACTAGGCAGCCGATAGCATACCCTCAAATACCATAAACTCTTTTAATGTAAATCACACAATTCAAAACCACATCAAGAAACAAGACTCCTAT